GGTGCAATCCATCCCATCCTCCAGATCATTAATGAAGATGTTGAACAAAACCAGCCCCCTGTTATAGTCCTAGCCTTCACAACCTCCTCAGGTAAGGAGTTCCACAAGTTGACTGTGCGCTGTGTGAAGAAATGAGGGATAGCTCAGTGGTTTGAGCATTGGCCTGCTAAACCCAGGGTTGCGAGTTCAATCCTTGAGGGGGCCATTTAGGGATCTGTGGAAAAAAAATCTGTCTGGGGATTGCTCCTGCTTTGAGCAGGGGGTTGGACTAGATGACCTCCTGAGGTCCCTTCCAACTCTCGCATTTAAAAAAAAAAAAAGAACTTCCTTGTATTTGTTTTAAACCTGCTGCCTATTAATTTCATTTGGTGACCCCTAGTTCTTGTATTATGGGAATAAGTAAATATTATCCTTATCTACTTTCTCCACATCACTCATGATTTTATATACCTCTATCATATCCCCCCTTAGCCTCCTCTTTTCCAAGCTGAGAAGTCCTAGCCTCTTTAATCTCTCCTCATATGGAACCCGTTCCAAACCCCTAATCATTTTAGTTGCCCTTCTCTGAACCTTTCTAGTGCCAGTATATCTTTTTTGAGATGAGGAGACCACATCTGTACGCAGTATTCGAGATGTGGGCGTACCATCGATTTATATAAGGGCAATAATATATTCTCCTTTTTATTCTCTATCCCCTTTTTAATGATTCCTAACATCCTGTTTGCTTTTTTGACCACCTGCCTGTCTGTAACCAGAGCCCTGGAGCTGAGTGGGACAGAGAGATGCTCCCTGCCCCCCTGCACATGGGGGAGGTGGCTCACGCTGGCTCTGATGCTGTGAGCAAAGCAGCGGGCTTCCTGCCTGCCCTCACTGGGACAGCAGGGGCAGAGCTGAGCCCAGGGGGATCAGAGACCCCAGCTGAGTGTGAGGAACCACAGCCAGGGGGGACAGCTGCCAACCAGGGCTGCCTTGTCCAGAGGGTGCAAATGGCCTGGGACAAGGGTAAAGCAGCTTGGGACACCTGTCTGTCATAGAGGAGCCTTTTCAGAAGGTGGCCCTGAACTTGGTGAGGGACAGATGGGAGGGGAAGGCCACCCCCGATGGAGAATCAGTGGTGGAGTATGTACTGACTTTCCGGGAAAAGCTCGCTGAGCTCATGGGTCTGGCCAGGGAGCACCTAGCCAGGGCCCAAGGGAGGCACTGGGAGCACCTAGCCAGGGCCCCAGGGAGGCACTGGTACGACCACTCAGCCTACGGCACCAGGGACCAGGTGATGGGTCTCGTCCCAGTGAGGAAGAATAAGCTGCAAGCTGCCTGGGACGGGCCCTTCAAGGTCATCCAGCAGGTGAATGAGAAGAACGATGTGGTGGAACTGCCCAATCGGGCTCACAGCCACCAGGGGACAAGGTCAACATGATGGAGCTGTACTGTGACAGGGAGAGGCTGGTACTGGCCGTGTGTGGTCCCTGAGACCAGAGCCGGCCCCTTGCTGGAATCAGTTCCCCTCTCTGACCAGCTAACCCCTGCCCAGCAGGCAGAGATCAGAGAGATGCTGCATTCGTACCCACAGCTGTTTTCCAACCGGCCTGGGCTCACAAACCGAGCTGTCCACTGGGTGGAGATGGGAGCCGGCCCTCCCATCAGGTGTTCCCCATTCAGAGTAACGGGGAACACAGCCCAGGCCCAGGAGGGAGAAGTCAGAGACATGCTGGCTTTAGGGGTGATCCAGCCATCCACCAGCCCCGGGGACCTCTCCTGGGGGCCTCTCCCATAGTCCCCAGGAAAGATGGGCTGATTCTGTGTGGCCTATCGGAAGCTCAAGGCCATCACCATGTCTGCCCATATCGAGGCCTGATGAGATCCTAGACAAGTTGGGGGGGGACTTGGTACCCCATGACCAGGGATTTCACCAAAGGCTACTCGCAGATTGTGACGAAGTGGGACTGTTCTTAATGTTTCCCCTAATACTGCCTCAGTTTCCCCTATGCATTCCCCTGTGCATTTATTAAGTCTCTAGGTGGTGGGATAAAGGCCAGTGTGCATAAATCACTGACCCTCTGTCTCCTAGTAACAAATGGCCAGGGCCCTCCCCCCTTGCAAGGGGATAGCTAAAGGTGAACAAAGAGATCAGGTGACCTCCTGGCCCGGGAAAGAGACAAAGCCGAGAGGAGGAGGGGCTGGGGGGACGGGGTTTCAGTTTGGAGCTGGCTGGGGACTAGGAGTGAGGGCAGAAGACGGGGGTGTCTGGCTCACAGGACCCCAGGATGGATCCGGCTGAGGGGTCCGGTTCTTTGTACCTACAAGCTCTGTTTTAGACTGAGGTCCTGTCATCTAATAAACCTCTGTTTTACTGGCTGGCTGAGAGTCACGTCTGACTGCGAAGTGGGGGTGCATGCAGGACCTTCTGGCTTCCCCAGGACCCAGCCTGGGCGGACTCGCTGTGGGAAGCGCACGGAGGGGCATATGCTGAATGCTCCAAGGACAGACCCAGGAGGTGAAGCCGTGTGAGCTTCTTGCCCTGAAGACGGTCTGCTCCGAGGGAGAGGAGGCTCCCCAAAGTCCTCACTGGCTTTGCGGGGAGCAGTTCCAGAGCATCGCCCGGGGACTCCGTGACACAGATGCCAGGTTGAAACCTGCTTTTGTCACCCCTTAGGGGCTGTACAAGTCCCTAGTCCTACCTTTCGGCCTCAAGGAGGCACCAGTCACCTACCAACACCAGGTGGATCAGTTACTGAGGGGGATGGATAATTTTACCCTTGGTTACACTGATGATATTTGTGCCATTAGCCAGACCTGGGAGGACCAGGTGTCCCAGGTGAAGAGGTGGCTGGGTCGCCTCCAGGATGCAGGGCTGACTGTAAAAGCTGGGATGTGCAAGGTGGGGACGGCAGAGGTGTCGTACCTGGACCACAAGGTGGGGACCGGCTGCCTAAAGCCAGAGCCAGCCAAAGTGGGGGCAATCAGAGACTGGCTTGCTCCCCAGACTAAGAAACAGGCCCAGGCCTTTATTGGGATGGCGGGGCACTCCCGGAGGTTTATGCCCCACGTTAGCTCTGTGTCAGCTCCCATCACTGAGCTATGCAAGAAAGGTAAGCCAGACAAGCTGGTCTGGACCGGGCAGTGCCAGAGGGCTCTCTGCACGCTGAAGAAGGATCTGGTCAAGGGCCCGGTGCTGGGAAACCCAGACTTTGACAAGACCTTTATGGTGTTCACCGATTCCACACACAATGCAAGGGGGGGGAACACCACATCATGTTCCTAAGCAGGAAGCTGCTGTCCCGGGAGCAGGGCTATGCAGCCATAGAGAAGCAGTGCCTGGCCATGGAGTGGGCTCCTAAAAGGCTGCAGCCGGATCTATTTGGGCGGCGCTTCACTGTTTACTTGGACCATTCGCCCTGCCGTGGCTGCACCAGATGAGAGGGGCCAATGCCAAGCTCCTGAGGTGGAGTCTGTCCTACCAGGATTATGAGAGGGAGGTGGTCCACGTTAAAGAGAGTGCAAATGTTACGGTTGATGCTATCTTCCGGAGAGGGAGACCTGAACTTCCCCAGGTCACTGGCTAAAGTGACCCCGCTCAGTTTGGTCTTGAAGGGGGGAGAGATGTGACAAAGTAGGGATTTTCCCTTGTTATGTTGTATGTGAGTCTTACAGTTTTGCATGAATGCTGTGTGTGCCTCAGTTTCCCTGTGTATTGCACCAATGTCTAGGTGGTGGGATTAAGCCTGTGTGACTTTTGCGGGGGTTGCTCCAGCTCCCTGCATGTATGCTCTGGGCACCCCTTCATAACCTGAGACCCAGGAGGGGGACACCACCAGGTGACTCTTGGCCCGGGAAGCGAGACAAAGGCCTGAGGAGGAGGAACAGGCAGGGTAGGGGCCAGGCAGCTGAAAGTGTGGGCTGGCTTGGGGCTCAGGGGGAGGACCAGAGCCCTGGCTCTCGGCTCCCCTCCGCGCAAGATGGACTTGGCTGAAAGTCACTGATTTCTGTGCTAACAAGATCTGCCCTACGCTGTGTTCCTGTTGACTAATAAACCTGTTTTACCGGCTGGCTGAGAGTCACTGCTGACTATGGAGTTGGTGTGCAGGGCCCTCTGGCTTCCCCAGGAGCCCAGCCTGGGCGGACTTGCTGTGGGAAGTACACTGTGGGGCAGAGGATGCTGAATGCTCTGAGGTCAGACCCGGGAAGGTCGAAGCTGTGTAAGCTTCTTGCCCTGGAGACAGAGAGAGGAGGCTCCCCCAGAGTCCTGACTGACTTCGTAGGGAATAGTTCCAGAGCATTGCTCTGGTGACTCCGTGCCCCCCCCATCCAAGACACTGGACAGTGAGACCCAGCACCCCCCTGTGCCCCCCAAGACACGGCAGTGAGACCCAGCACCCTCCTAAACTCTCCCCCCCGAGACACTGGGCTGTGACACCTAGCACCCCCCTAACTCTCCCCCTGAGACACAGGGCAGTGAGACACAGCACCCGCTCAATGACCCTCCGAGATACAGGGTACTGAGACCCAGCACCCCCCTAACCCACCTCCAAGACACCCCCTACACCCACCTGAGACACTGGGCTGTGAGACCCAGCACCCCCTATGCCCCCACCCCGAGACACAGGGCAGTGAGACCCAGCACCCCCCTAAACTCTCCCCCTGAGACACAGAGCAGAGAGACACAGCACCCTCCAACATGTCCCATCCTCTCCCTCCCCCACCCTTGGAGAGACAGGGAACTCAGACCCCTCACTGGCTGCCCCTGGACAAGTCTCTTTCCCTGGTCCCACCCATGGGTGCCCAGAGCCCTGCGGCGGGGGTGGGGCTGGACCACCCTCTGATGGGCATTTTCAGAGTAGAGCAAATGAGTGCAGATCAAGTGAAAAGGACCCTCTGCCCCCTGGCCCAGCGCCTCCGCGTGGGAAATGCTCTGGTAGCTTTTCCCCACGTGTATCTTGCTCTCTGCTGACAGCCCATGTGGCTCCCTGGGAATCCCAGCCCTGGGCCAAGGAGGAACTGACTTGTTCTTCGTGGTGGGCATCTCTGGAGAGCTCTGGTTGGACGAGTTCTCCGACTTGGGCTCCTGGGACACGTGGCCGCTGTCAGGCGTCTTCTGGGGGCCTGCTGGGTTCTCCCTGTGAGAGGCACCAGCGACATGCTTGGACCAGGGCAGGGGGAGCCATGCTCACTGCTGGGCAGCTCTCAGCTCCAGCTGCCTCCCGGGGGCACCAAGATTTTCCAGCTCATAGCACGGCAGGGCTGGATTGGTGACTGGTGTCCCTGTCCTGGTCTTCCCTGAGCTCAGTGCCAGCCGTGGTGCAGGGCAATCCCTGGTGTGGCCAGGTTGGCCTGGGCCTGGCAGTGTGGGAGCTACTGCTGCTTGGCAGCATCCCCACTCCCCTTGGGGTCTAAGCCAGGCTGAAATCAGGGTGAATTGCGGGAAGCTGCCCTCGTGAGGAGAGCACATGCCCAGCCCGCCCCGCCCCTGGCAGTCTGACCAGGGGCCAGGCATATCTGCTGGGAGCAGCCTTGGCGAGACGGAGCCGCGTAGTGAGGTGCCACGGGGAAGGTTCTCTGTGCTCACTGGGGTGGCCCCTCCCTCCTCCTCCCCATCACTGCTTGGGGCTCTGCTCCCTGTCCCATTGGCACGGGTGCAGCACAGCGGGGCTGGGGCAGGGCAGGCGGGACCCAGCTGTCTCTTCCTGGGGGTGGAGCTGGTGCTCTCTCTTGCAGGTCTTGGTGCCCCCGCTCCTCCCCTGCCACGGCTTCACCCACCTTTTCTCCTGCACCTCCTGGATGTTCTCGATGCCGATGGCGCTGCTCCTCCGGGGGCTGAAGGGGCCGGATTTCTTCCGTGTCGGGCTCTTCCCAGGAACAATCAGCGACTGGAAAAGATTTGATCCCATCAGCCAGACAGTCCTGGGAAGCCCTGACTCCCCGCGGGGCACTGCCACCTTCCCCCCTCCACAGGGGCCCACGCTGGGGCGGGGGGGTTGGACTTGGACCAAGGGCAAAACCAAATTGGAGCTGAAGCCAACCCAGCAATGGGCAGGTGCCCCCATCCTGAGGGCTGCTCCCCCTTCAGCATTTGCCAGAGCACCGGAGTCCCCTGCTTAGCTGGGTCCCACGGGTTACTGCTCACACACATCTCCCAATGCTGGGCATTGGGCTCAGGGCCTCCTCCAGCTGGAGCCCCATCAGAGCGCCAGGGGGCTGGGTGGAGAGGAGGAATTCGGCGATGACTCTGCCCCATCACGTGGTGCCAGCTGCTAGCCATGGGGCAGAGACTGGGGCTGGGCAGGGCTGATGGGGTCTGAGGGCCTGATGCTATGGGGGAGTGAGCGTCTGTCCAACCAGAGAATGCCCAGCATTGGAGGGGCACTGCTGGGGTGCCTGCACCATGCCAGAGGGGCTGGAGCGTGGCCTCTCAGCCGGGCTTCCTGACATGGGGAGAGGTGACCCATGCCTGTGGGGCACTCCAGCACAGCTTGAAGCAGTCACGGCCCTTTGCAAAGCCCTGCACCCACCTCTGGCACCTTTCACCTGAGGATCTCCAAGTACTGCACGGACTGGACCGAAGCCCTGTGAGGAAGGTACCGTCACCCCCCTTGTAGAGGTGGGGAAACTGAGGCACAGTAAGGGGATGTGACAGACAGGAGAGGAACACAGGAGTCTGTACTCCCATGCCCCTTGCTCTAACCACTGGCTTGCACTGCCTGCCAGCTCAGGCAGGGCCATGCATGGCGGCTGTGTCCATAGCTGGATCTCTCCTTGGAACCAGCGACACTGGCTGGGGACGGGGCGGGGAGCAGTGGGGTCAGGCCAGGGGCCAGTCTGGATTGCCCCCAGTTATGCTCATCAGAGTGCAACAAGCAGAGGGGCTAGCCCAGCTGGGGACCCAGTCGTGTCAATGCTAGGCCCCGGCCAAGGTGAAGGGAAGGCACGGGGCCACATGGGAACAGGCAGGGCTGGGCTGCAGGCACTAGCCTCCTGCTGGCTTCTCAGTGGGCAGGGGGGCGGTCTGCACTGTGGTTAGCCCGAGCGATCTATGCCCAGAGACTTGTATGGAGTCAGCTCAGCTCCGGTGAGCTCAGCCACACTGCGGCATAACTCTCCCCTGCCAGGGCCGCGCTGGCCCAGCCCAGGGCTTGTCGCACTGCAGGGGGCTGGGCTGTGCTGCTCTGTGAACACCTTCCTGATGGATAGCAGGAGAATTCATCTGTCCTTCGGGGCACAGTGGGTAAGGTGGGAAGCTCTGGCAGACTGGCAGGGCTGGTGCAAGGATATTTCGCGCCCTAGGTGAAACTTCCACCTTGCGCCCCCCATCCGGCCCGGGGAGCCAGGGCCGTCCCTAGCTATTTTGGTGCCCTACACAGCCCCCCCGCAGGGGGGCTGTGTGGGGCCCCAGGCCTCCATGGGGGAAAGAGGGGGCCCAGGCCTCTGCGGAGGGGCTGTGTGGGGCCCCGCCCCAGGCCTCCACGGGAGGGGGGGGCTGGTCCCAGGCCTCCGTGGGGGATGAGGGGGAGGGGGGGCTGGCCACTTCATGTGGGAAGTGGAGCGACCCGGCCCCAGCCTGCTCCACTCCCCTGGCTCCCAGCCGTGCCAGCGAGTGTGGGGGGGCAGTTCCCCCTTCCCCCCAAGCCTGGGAGCCAGGGGAGCGGAGCAGGCTGGGGCCGGGTCACTCCACTTCCCGCAGGAAGGAGCCAGCCCCCTGTCCCCCACAGGGGCCTGGGGCCCCAGCCTGCTCTGCTCCCCTGGCTCCCAGGCTTGGGGGGAGGAGGGAGGGAGGAACCGCCCCCCAGCACTCGCCGGCGGCGCGGCTGGGAGCCAGGGGAGCAGACCAGGCTGGGGCCGGGTCGCTCCACTTACCATATGGTGAGTGCAGGGTCAGGCCTGGCTGCAGTCTTCAGGGGAGTGAGAGCGGGGCTGGGGCGGAGCAGGGGCGGGGTTGGGGCGGAGGCCATGGGGAAGAGCCAGGGAGCCCCCCCTGCGGCAGCTCCCAGCCCTGAGGCGTGCCCCCCTGTGGCAGTTCCCCCCCCCCACCCTGCGGTGCCCGCCCGCGGCAGCTCCCCGCCCCAGCTCACCTCCGCTCTGCCTTCTCCACTTCTCCCGCCTCCCAGGCTTGCGGCGCCAATCAGCTGTTTGGCTCGGCAAGCTTGGGAGGGGAGGAGAATTAGAGCGGGGGCGGCGCGCTCAGGGGAGAAGGCGGAGCAGAGGTGAGCTGGGGCGGGGAGCGGTTCCCCTGCACGCCCCCCCCCCTTACTTTCTGCAGGCAGCCCTCTCCGCGCCACCCGTCCCAGCTTACCTCCACTCCACTGCCTGCCCTGAGCGGGCTTTTTGGCGCCCCCAACCACATGGCGCCCTAGGCGGCCGCCTAGTTCGCCTAGTGGTTGCACCGGCCCTGCAGACTGGCACCACTGGGTGCCAGCTGCATCCTCAGTGCCGAGTGGTCACTGTAGCAGCTGATGAGTGATGCACACTCGAGCTGTAGTCTGTGCCCGCCGGGTCAGCCACAGCTACAGCCACGGCCCGGCGTGTGCGGAGGGAGCGGGAGGGGCAAGGCTGGTGAGAACGCGAGTTCACTCTGCAGGGAGGCCAGGCCTGGGGCAGAGGGCTGGAGGCCCTGGGCTATGAGGCGGGGAGGCACCGCAAGGGGTGGAAGGCAGCAGGACCAAGGGGCTCTGGGTGCCAATACCTAGGCAGGGGTGAAAGCAGCAGGTACCAGGGAGGCTGACACGCCTCTCTCCCTACCCGACCCCTCGAACTTAGCTGCAGAGAAGCACCACCCTGCAGCACCAGAGGCCCAGCCGGGCTGCCCTGCATGCTGGGATGGCAGCCAGGCCCAGCCAGCCAATGTTCCCACTGCGGCCCAGCTCCCCCATCGCATGTACAGAGCTGGCTCCAGAGAGGAAAGGGGTGCAGGGAGAGGGGAGAGAGAGAGAGAGAGAGAGAGAGAGACATCAACCTCTTCTATGGTTCCTATCCCTATGGCGCTGCCTCGACGTCCGCACCTACTTGGCGCTTTTCCAGGGACAAGCAATGACTGGCAAGCGGACAGAGGAGAGAAGCAGAGCAGGGGGAGGGGGAGAAGAGGGGGGGGGGAGAAAAAGAGAAGAGAGTCATGCAAAAAAAATGGCTTGACCATCGTAACAAAGGGCTCGTTAACAGCACCCTATAGTTGCCCGTCGCCAGATGCGCATGTGGGTGTCATGGTGGGCTATGTGGGGAGACACTGTATCTGTGGTGGGGATCCCCACTGAGCAGCTACTGGCGCTGGATGGTTGATTTGGAGTTGGCAGCTCTCATGAGAAGGCCTGAGGGGGTGTTGTGGGGCTTGCACAGTGGGGAGAGAGGAGGGTGGGTGGGGAGCAGCTGGGAAAGGGGGCAGGACTGCATGACACAGAAGAGAAGGGGGCTAGCTCAGGGCAACTTTTGCAGACAAAAACAAACTCCTCCTTGCACCCTGCCCCAGGCAGGTCAATCTCTCACAACTGGGGAAACTGAGGCACAGAGGAGGCCATGGTTTGCCTAAGGCTACACCGCAAGTCAGTGTCCAAGCTAGGGATAGAACCCCAGACTGCTGGCACTTCTCCTCCCCTGAGGCCTAGCCAACCATCCCTGGGCACCGGGGGCTCAGCTCCTGCTGTCACTGCCAGGACCGGCAGAGTGGCCATGGCTTTCCGTAGGAGCAGGAGCCCATGGTGGGGGACTGGCCATTGCCGCGCTCAGCACAGCCATGGAGCCCAGCATTCCAGGGCGGTAACACCACCGAGTGCAGCCCCATCTCCTTCCCTGCCCAACTTTGGGGCCTCAATCCTCCTTTGGGGGCACATGGACATTTAATGCAAACAAGCCCTCCTTTACCCAACATGCACAGTAGCTGGCACATCTTATGCATCCCTCAGACCTTGCCTGGCTGTCGCCCTCACCGAGCAGAGCCAGGGCCACCACTGGACAAGGGGGGAGCCGCGCACGGGACCAGGGAGCTGTAAACTGAGCTGAAGTGCAGTGCAGCGGCATGGCCACACGATGGCGCCAGCACCTAAGAGCTTGGCAGTGGGCTGGTTCTGAGAACTGGGTGAACTCACCCAGACCCTGAAGCTAGTGCTTCCTCTTCCCACTCCCAGCGGGCACTGACACCGGTGCTTGGCCCTTCCCTAGCCCCTTCCCTCCAGGATCTCCATGCATTTCACAGGCATCGATTACTATGCCTCACAGCCCCCACTCTCTCCCTGGAACAGATGGGGAAACTGAGGCACAGAGCGAGGCTATGACTCACCCCACGTCACAGAGCCAGTCAGTGACAGAGCTGGGCAAGGAACCTGGGAATCCTGACTCCAAGCTCCCCTATGCTAACCACTGGACCACACAGCCTCCCGGGCGGGCTTGGCCACACAATGGGGGAGTTAAAGCTGTGGGGCTCAGAGCAGG